AAGACAGACTTAGGCCATGGGCTCTGCTCGTCCTGGTGTGGCCACCGGGTTAAAGAAGGCTCCTTTTCTGATTTTATCACTGGTCTCTTTAAGCAGCTTCCCAAGATGGAATCCCTGCCCTAAATCCATTATCACAATCACTGTGAAAAACAAGAGTGGGAGTCTTCTAAAAAACCTGAAAACAGAGGCTGGAGAGATGGCTCAGAGGATAAGAGCACTGCTTGTTCTTCCAGAGGTCCTGAGTTCAATTCCCAGCACCCACATGGTGGCTCACAACCATCTGTAATGAGATCTGGTGCCCTCTTCGGGTCTGCGGGTGTACATGCACACAGAACACTGTATACATAAAATAAATAAATCTTTAAACAAACAAACAAAACCTGACAACAGAACCGCCAGGCTGAACAGCGTGGACGGCAATGTCCAGAATGACAAGCTTGTTTTGAAGGGGTGGCTTCCGGGGGACTTGCCTGTCTCCTCCACCTTTCCCCTCATTTCACTTCCTTTGACCTCCCCACCACATCCGTTCTCTCCTCATTTACCGACTCTGTAAGGCCCTGTTCCCCTTAGTTCACAGGAACCAACTCACAGAGAAGCAACTGTCTTGACCTGAGGAGCAAACACAGACGCCGGCTTCAGATCAAGATCCAGGAGACCGTTTAGGAGGAAAAGGCCTCTGGAGAGACCCCCGCCCCCCAGCCTGGGCACTTGCAGCCCAGACCCATCTCCCTTACGGCCCTTCCTACCCGCTGACAGATCTGAAGAGTCTCTGGCCTCCTTCAGGGCTGACCTTGAATCGGCTCGTTCCCTTGAAGTTTCCGTCTCCTTCATTTTCGGTAGAGTGGTAATGAATGACAATTCCACAGCCAAAGGGGATGGAACCTGTCTGCCCCACAGGCACCACATTCCTACAGCTCCGCCCACCCACAGACAGAGCGGGCAGAGGACACGTGGCGTCTTCACACAGCTGAGTGGTGTTCAGGGAGAATGGAATTCTGTCTCCCGCAGCAACATCGACGGAACGGGAGGGCAGCATGGCCTGTTGACTCCCCAGGTGGAAGCCAGAGACAGAGCTGAGTGTGCGGGTGTCAGAGGTGGGCGAAGGGCTGGTAACGGAGGTGACATCTGCATGCATGGAGATACAGTGCCCTAACCCATCAACAGGTGCAATTAACCCACTAATCAAAAATGAAAGAAAGTGCTTTGAGCCATAGAGTAATCTGCTAGGCGGCAGCTGATCACAAACGTGCAGCTGAGTCAAGGTTACCTTGCACAGATTTCAATTTAGGGCTTCCTCCCAGGAGGAGCAGTGAGCTGAGACACTGTGGAATTTCAGTTCATTCAATCGGCACATCCTAAAATGTATCCCTCGCTGGGTGTCTCACGAGCTCACCACTGCAATCAACTTCAGTCACGGGAAGAGGAACTCGGAACTGAGTGGGCAAGCATTAGGAGGAAGCTGTCTCTCTGATGAGGAGGCCACTAAAGCACAGGGGTTCTTCCAGATGCCCTGGACACAGCCTGGATCTTGGTGACACTCCATGCCCACAATGCAGACCACTATCCCTACACACCCACAGCACAGGAAAGCTGTGTGTCCCAGGGGAAATGATGCCTGGAATGACTCTGGCACACTGCTGGAATCTGTTTACAGCTACTACCACCTGCCTGCCACAGGACTTAAAAAGGCAACCCGCAACTTCTATATACTGAATGGACCCAGGTCCCTGCTTTGAGTTTTACAGTTACCTGAGGAGGGGGCTCAGCAGGTGTCTACACTTGCTACATACACCTCGGTTCTGACTAACAGGGAGGCCTTCCTGCCTTCACCATCCGGCCTTTGGGATGTAGGCTTCCTGCAGGGAAGAGGGGTCTCAGGGTGTTCCTGGGCACCTGAATTACACATGGAGCATCCACTGCTCCAGCACCGCGTGGTTACTAGTCCAGGCCACCAGCCGCATCGCCCAGCACAGCAGGCCAGGGCTGGTCAGGATGGACAGCTGGATGTTCCCACCCGGTCAGTGCGACTCCAAAGCGCTCTCACAATCGATGAACCTTTACATCTGAACAGAAGAGGAGGGGTGCTTTCCTTCCCGCTCACATCAGACTGAGGGAATGTTTGTGCTGGGAAAAGGAAGGCACAGGGGCTCAATGGAGGACATTTTCCTAGCCGGAAAGCCTGTGCGTCCCCTTTCAGTCTCGGGGGCCCAGGCTTGGTGCACCAAGATTCCATCCTGGTGTGGCAGTGCCCAGTGGCTTTATTGTCCATGTCCTGGGGTTTGTAATAGTGCCATTCAGAGGTTTCTGAACTACATTTCTGTTGTTGATTGTGTTTTAGCTCTTTTGGAGGGCCCACTACCCAGCTTCCAAATAAATCACACATGGAGACTTATTCTCAATTATGAATTCCCAGCCTTAGCTTGGCTTATTTCTAACTAGCTTTTCTTACCTTATCCGGTCTCTCTTTTGTCTCTGGACTTTGTCCGTTCTCTTACTTCTGTAAAACTTACTCTTATTCTGGGGCTTGCTGTGTAGCTGGGTGGCTGGCCCCTGATTCCTCCTCCTTCCCTGGCTCCTTGTTCCTTCACACCTCCATCTCTTTTCTTCTCCTTCCAGATTTCTCCTTCTATATATTCTTGCTGCCTGCCAGCCCCACCTATCTCTCTCTCTCCTGCCTTGCTATTGGCCGTTCAGCTCTTTATTAGATCAGTCAGGTGTTTTAGACAGGCACAGTAACACAGCCTCAGAGAGTTAAACAAATGCAACATAAACAAAAGTAACACATCTTAAAATAATACCCCACAACACATTTCTACTGTGAGCCCCATCAGGGCATCCATCCTGCAAACCCACTCGTAGGGAGGCACAGAATGGGGGTGGGGGTGGGGTGCTGAGTGTGAGCCTAGAGGGCAGGGAGTGTGCCTGCAGCCCGGATGGATGAAGCAGTCCTCACTCTCTCTACTTGCTGTGTGTCCCATCTTCTCTGACTGACTCACAGTTAATTTGCTCTCTGCAGGAGCGGTGGAAAGTGGAGCAAGAAAAGCATCTGTAGCAGGCAGACGCCACCAGGGTGCTGACAGCGGCGGCGGTGGCGGGCCTGCCTGAGCCCCACAGTGAGAGGACAGTGGTGGCTGTTGTCCTGCATTTCTAACTTTGTCTGCTGCAAAGCAGCAAACCCAAGTGCGCCCATCTGTCAGAAACCCCTTTTAGCAAAAGCACCAACCCTGCCTGGAACAGAGCTCTCACGCTGTCTCGTCAGCCGTCAGTAGAGGAGCGGGCCACACTCACATCCCACGCGATTCTTTTTCAGGGTGCAGGAGACAGGGCCTCATCTGCTGCTCACTCCAGCTGCAGCTAAGGAAGCCTATCCACCTGGCGCCCCAAAGCCAAATCTACCTGGGATTTCGGGGCGGGGGTGGTTCATCTGTATTGGCAAATGAAATTAATCTCAAGCTAATTAGACCTTACTGTTTATGGATTACACCTATTTATGCAAATGGCTCTTAGGAAAGTCTATGGAGTGGGCTCTTTCCCAACTGGCTTGCAAAGCTCTGGTGAGACCCGGAGGCGCCAACAGCCTGCAGAACCAGAGAGAGAGGTGTAGAAAGCAGAAGACAGGCATCTGCAGACAGTGACAGCCACGGACTTTGGAGTCACGGCAGCAGGGCACACTTGATTCCATTTAAACCGAACATGCAAATTCACCAAACGACTCAAAGACAAAAGTTACAACCAACACCGGACTCCTCTGTGGAAAGTAAGCGACACCCTGATAAAACAGGTTGCCACATAAGAACATGGCCCTGACAGGTACACTGAACACACACAGACTGTCCATTCCCCTCTCTGCTTCAGTGACCAGGCTGTCAGGCTTCATGGCAAGCACCTTTACCGGCTCAGCTATCTCAACAGCCCCAAGTCTGTGGTTTTGAGATAGGGTTTTGCTATGTAGTCAAGGCTGGCTTTGACTTTGCAATCCTCCTGCCTTAGCCTCTTCCTTTCCAGACCCTGAGTATGGACACTACAGGTGAGCGTCACCATGCCTGCTTTGACTGTGCTTACGATATAAGAAGAGTTACCATGAGGAAAGAGTTGGTTAAGTGTAGGCAAGCAAGCGGGTCCGGCTTTTGGTTGTTTTTTTGGACAGTGTTCTCATATACAGCATCACCTGGTTTAGAGCTTGTGCTCTGCCCACCTCAGTCTCCAGAGTCCTGGGGTTACACATGACACCATGCCTAGCTCTATGGCATGAACAGTGAACTGGATACGGAGCCAGGGGGCTGAGTGCCTGAATCCCTGTCCACGCTCTAGTGAGGACGTCTCTGCACAGCCTGGCGGGGCTCTTGTCACTCCGCACTCTGCAAGGGGACTACGGTCATGACCCCGGAACACCACAACAGTTTTATAAGAAAAGCCAGGAAGTGAGGAGAGACTTAAGAAATGTGACCATACTTTTCTCAACGATTACCCCATGCTGCCCTTGCTGACAGGTCCCACAAGGACCACCATGAGGAGGGCTGGAGAACAAGGCCATTCCCAACCCAAGGTGAAGCTTCTGAGCAAAGGGTTTCCCACGTGTGGAGTCACAGAACGGGAATGACAGTTCGAGGTTCTGTTGACTCAAAAATTACTTTGCAGTTGGGAACAACTAGACAAGTCCCACAGCATTCTGGCCTTTGGCATTGGTCCTGTGAATGATGGCTGTCACCGCCCAGGGTCATTCTGAAGCTCCCACAGGGCTACAGTGCTCTGCTTGGCACAGGAGTGGCCTGGCTCACTCTCCGGGAGGCTGGGCAGTGATTTCCAGTGAGAAGGTGTCTGCTGTGAGTGAGAAAAGGGGCTTCAGGCCCCCAAACAGCTCTGGGCATGAACACCATGGCCACACTGTTCTAGGACCTTGTGTGTGAGGAAGGAGTGTGAGATGGTCTCCCTGGGGGACAGGTGGAGAATGGCGTGCTGTGAGTGCCGAGACGAGGCAGATCGAATACCATGACAGTTACCTTGCTGCAGACGGTCTTGACCCTGTGTAGTCGGTCCAGGGACTCCTGTGGGTTCCCCAGATACTGCTGCAGTTCAGCGTGCAGAATGCGCATCGAAAATGGGACCATGGAGCCTAGAGTAGAAATCAGAAATGAGATAATGAGCTTGCTATGAAGGTGTGTGTTTTCTGACTATACAAAGGGGGCATTTGCAGGCTGTCTGAGTTACAGTTTCTGTGTATCGTTGTGACGAAACACCATGACCAAAAGTAACTTGGGGGAAAGAAAAGGGTTTATTTCATCTTACAGCTTGTAGTTCACCATCCAGGAAACTCAGGGCAGGAAATCTGGAGGCAGAGGCTGACGCAGGGGCTGTGGAAGAGGGTTGCTTACACCTCACCTGGGCAGCACAGCAGAGCTGACCCTCTTGACTGGGGTGCAGGTGAACCACCCCGAGGATGTGAGCTTGGGAGATCTGGACCTGCCCCTCACCTGCGATATGGTGGGGTGGGTGGGGAAGAGATGTACCCCTCCACCTGCCTCTCACTGCCTGTGGCAGGTGGGAGAGCTGGTTCTGAGGTCACAAGAGCGGGAGAGCTGTCCCTGCCCCTCACCAGCTGCAGCACTTGGGAGAGTGGCCCCTACACCTCATCTGGACAACACAGTAGAGCTGGCCCTGGTGTGGGTGCGGGAGAGCCAACCCTGAGGGTGTGAGAGCAGGAGAACTGGCCCCGCCCCTTGCTCCCTGCTGCACAGGGTGAACTAGTCAGGGCAATGCTGGAGAGTTCACCCTGGTGGTGAGGACAGGAGAGCTAGGGGCTGATCAACCCTGCAACTATCCAGTCCCAGAGCCAGGGTTATGAGTTGACCCACTCCAACATCCACCCCATCTATGAAGGAGCTGGTCCTGCAGACTCAAAGCTGCAGGATCTCCACGACACAGGGCAACAACAGGGTATCCAAGAGGAGTCCCAGGGAGGGCCCAGTATCAATACTGTGGCAGAAACCAGAGGCCTCAAACCAGACCAATGACTCTTTGCAATGAACACTTGCAAGTAAAGATATGGGTAAAAGGGTTTACAGCGTGACCTGCTGTATCACACTGCACCTTCCATGATGAGATTTTCTCCTTAAGTTTTATTTTATTTTATTTAGGGGGGGCTGCAAGTGCAGAGGGCAGATACGAATGGGATAGAGATGCATGATGTGAAAGACACAAAGAATAAATAAAAAGAAAGTTGTTTTAAAAGAGTGCTGCTTGCCGGGCGGTGGTGGCGCACGCCTTTAATCCCAGCACTCGGGAGGCAGAGCCAGGCGGATCTCTGTGAGTTCGAGGCCAGCCTGGACTACCAGGTGAGTCCCAGGAAAGGCGCAAAGCTACACAGAGAAACCCTGTCTCGAAAAAACAAAACAAACAAACAAACAAACAAAAAAGAGTGCTGCTTACTGGCTTGCTTCTCACAGCTTGCTCAGCTTGTTTCTTATGCCATCCAGGGTCACCTGCCCAGAGGTGGCACCAGCCACTGTGAGCTGGGTCCTCCCACATCAAGCATCAATCAAGGAAACACCTCACAGGCCAATATGATAGGAACATTTTCTCAACTGAGGTTCCCTCATTCCCAAGTGACTCTAGGTGGTATAGCTGACAAAAATACTAACCAGCACACAGGTGCTCCAGTGGAATCAGGGACAAAAGCCCTTTATTTTTCAGTCCAGCTGTAAAACACAAGCTGTTTTTCTTACCAATGCATATCTAGCCTACTACCAAAGAAGACCTGATGGTATCACTACTGCCACAGCTCTGCAGCAAACACGAAGATCCTCACAAGTGAATTCAGTAGCAGATACCAAATGACCACCAACAAAAGCCACAACATGGTACTTTACTGCAGCAGGCCAGGCGGAGGGTGGGTGTGACGGTTTGAATGAGAATGGCCCCTCCTGTGAGTTTGAGCTTGGTCTACAGAGCGAGAGTTCCAGGACAGCCAGGGCAGTTAAGCAGAGGAACCCTGTCTCAAAAAGCCAAAGAACAACAACAAAAAGAATGCCCCCTGTAGACTCGTATATTTTAATGTTTAGCAGCTGGGAAGTGGGATTGTTTTAAAGGATTACAAGGATCAGGAAGCACGGCCTTGTTGAAGGAAGTGAGTCACTGGGGGTAGACTTTGACACTGCGAAAGCCCAAGCTAGGCTCTCTCTCTCTCTCTCTCTCTCTCTCTCTCTCTCTCTTTCTCTCTCTCTCTCTGCCTATGGATCAGGATACACCTCTCAGCTACTTCGTCAGCATCTACCCTGATACCCTGATCTCTGAAACTGGAGACAAGCCCCCGACTGAACGCTTTCTCTTCGCAAGCATTGCCTCGGTCATGGTGTCTCTTCCCACAGTAGAACAGTGACTAGGACGGGGTCCGCTGGGGTTTCCCAGCAGGGAGGGCTGCAAATAAAGCGACTGGTTCCGGAGGGGCTCCTGGCAATGGTGGAGGTGGGGGAGCAGATAGCTCAGTGAGGGGACCTCTCCATCCTGGACTCAGAGAAGAAAGTTCTAGAGGTGCTCCTGGGGATGTCAAAAAGGGGCCAGACAGTTCGGCAAGGACACCTCTCCGTCCCGGGCTGAGAGAATGGGGTCCCACCAGCTTCTGTGCTACGCGTTTCTCAGAAACGCCTGGGACAGGGTGAGGCTAAAACAGGAAAAGGTTCCTTCCAGCTCACGGGCTTGCACAGAGCAAGAGGCCTCTCCGGTTAAAGCTGTCAATCAGAAGAAAAGCATGTGGCCTCGGTGAAAGAGGAAAATGACGGAACTACACAGGAGAAGCAGGAGGTTCTAGGACAGGAGAAGAGCAGCCGGAAATACCGGCTGTCAGTTCCATGCCGAGTACAGGTGTGTGGCACAAGCTCCTGAGTAAGTTTTACGAGCCAAGCAGAGGCCAGGCTCTGGACACTGCAAATGACAGATGTGGCCATCAAGCAAACCCTCATGTCTCTTCAAGAACAAGCGCACAGATGCTGTGCCAGACCCGTCTTCGAGAAAGACACCGACCATGGCTCTACCCTACCTCTCTGTGTTAGCTACTTTTCTGTTGCTGTGGTAAAGCAGGAAGAGAGCATCTTTCCTCCTTCAGCTGCAGGAAGCAGGAAGGGGGCATCTTTCCTCCTTTAGTTGTGGGAAGCAGGAATAAGGCATCCTTCCCCCTCAGGCTGTAGGAAGCAGGAAGAGGGCATCCTTCCTTGGGGCTCTGGAGTTCAGGCAGAGGAATGTGAACTTCAAATTTAAATCTAACTTCAGCACAGCATGTTAGCTGTGGGAGGTGAGGTGATTTTGCAGAAAAAATGAAATCCCAGATGTTTGCAATATTATGCTGCACATTTAATTCTGAGCTGCCATGTGAGGTTTTGTGTGGATATAAAAGAGTTTCAGAATTTAGCCTGAGCACAAGACTTGTGAGCTGCAGACGCTGGAGGGAGCAGAGGAAGACTGAAGACTAGGTGAGAGTTTAGAGGAACAGACAGTTTCGGGTGTGGGGGGCAGACAGACACTTAGCTCTCAGTTGATTCAAGAGCCAGTACTTCTGGTTCAGTTGATGTGCAGGTGATCTACCAGGACTAAGTTCTGAAGCGAGGCTCTGCAGCTGCTGCAACCTTAACTAAACACACAGACCTGAGCCCGTCAGGGGCACTGCACTGATGCACTGAAGATCATCAAAACGTGTTTTCTTTCTGGAGAGAGATCTTCTGCCTCACATCCTCCAGTGCACTGAATGGGAAGGGACTGTTTTGCAGTACCATGAAAACCCCAAACGCATGCCTTCCCGTGGAGGAGTGCTCTGGACAGACTGAAGATGGTGGCGTGTGGGCATCTCACCTCTTGGAAGATAGAAATACAGCAAATGCATAAGCAGAGTGAGCTCACTGGAAACCATGACCAACTGCTGATTGAGAGTCAGCAACAGGCCATCATTGCAACCATGCCCACGTGCCGCACCAGACCAGCACACGACGTTACTGCAAAGCTTCAGTGAACAACCTCTGATACCATCCAGGGATGCAACTCCTGTCAACACTTGAATACAAACCCTGCTTTCGTAAATCACAAAACAAAAACCAATTTAATTAAGATAAGTAAGAACCAGAAGGCCACTCTAGGCACAAGGAAGGTTCTTCAAAGCAAAGCAAATGGACAGGTTTTGGAGACGGATTTTAAGTCCCTAAGAGCAGCAGTTCTGTTCTGAACATTACATACAAATAGACAAAACTGAAACAATCCATAGTGCCCCAGAACATAACCTGACTCCTTCACTTCATTCCTCCCTGCTGGAGGTGGGGGTGAGGGTAGCAGTTTCCTGGGGCACCTCCTGGGAGTATAGAAGTGGCAGGGGATAGATAGGTGAGACGCGTGTGGGGTGTGTGGGATCACAGGACTGTCTGACTCTGGGGTCAAATGTTCTGAGGCAGAAGATTCCACAGGAACATGTGCTAGGCTAACTGCTTCTTGTTTCTTTTTGCTGGAGATGAGACTGTGGTAAGTGTACCCCGAGGAGTGGGAACATGGCACCCCATGCAGCTGCCAGCAGCTCTCCACAGCTCTTGGGGAGCACTGTTCATGTGCTCAGAGCTACATCAACGTCCAGCTGATGGCCAGGGCAGCAGTGTGCTGTGGCTCAGTTAAGAATATATTCCAGAAAGTTCTCTGGTACATGCCTCTATGTGCCTCAATTCCCACTCTGAGGAATCCCAACAGCACTGCCAGGATATCTGTGGGTATGATATCCTAGGTGCAGTGTATCTGGAGTTACAGGAGATGCTGCCAACTAAGAAGGCCAGGTTGGCCCTTTGAAATCCGACTACCCTTCTGCAGACTTGAAAACAATCCTTGCTTGAGTCAGAGAAACTACCTTTAAAATTCCTAACAAAGGATTAAACGCCTACTACACAAAAGAACACCAGCAAACCGGCAACAGGAGCCTGTGTGAGAGTGAGCCCCCGAGGGAGAAGCCCCTCAGAACAGGGGTCAGAAGAAGAGACTGAGGACAACAGGTGGGACTGCAGGGCAGCAGGTCACAGTCCAGCCAAGCTTCCGACGTGAGTGGGGGAAGAAATCCACATATCGCTGCTGCAGGGAACAGAGGACAGGGGGCTG